GTAAAAGGGATGCATAATGTAATGTGAGTTGATTTATAGAAAAATAGTTTTATTTCTTGTAACTCTGAGTCTATAAACAGAGATTCACAAGCATTACAGCTATTAAGGAGGTGATGGGGTTCGGAGGAGGCTTCCTGGACGAGAAGCAGGTGTCTGAACTGGGATGTAAAGAGTGGATAGGAATGGGCCACATGGACTAGGGTACTGGCAGGTGTTATAAAGTGCAGGAGGGAAAGTGTGCCCTGCAGAAGGAATGGGTTGCCCTAAGGCCCTGTGTACGTGTGAAACAACTAGGTCTGCTCACCAGAAATGTTATCAGTTCAGCATTTTTGGAGACTGAGCACAAAGTGTGAAGAGAGTAGTAAAACAGAGAGGTAAGCAGTAGGGGACAGGTCAACATGATAGGAATTAAATTGTATATGATTTTATTGTCCTGATGAAAAACTGGGGGCTCCTGCCCTGCTCACCTCTCCAAGCGTATGCCACTCCATGCTCCCCTCGTTTGCTATGTGTTCCCCAGACTGATGTTCTTTCAGTTCCTCAGACATGACAAGCTTCATCTCACCCTTTAGACTAACTACTCCTTTTCCACTACGCTTTCCCTCCTCCTAACACAGTGAACTCATTTGTACTTGTAGATGAGTAGAGTCCCTTAAAATAGTCACCCTGGAAAGCCATATACTTAGTTATTGATATTATTCTTGTGTAAAGCGTTTTGGGACTTACCTTTAGCACCTATTTGCGAGGCATATCAGAAAACCCATTTTGTTATCTCAGACTTCATTTTTGGGCCTAAAGTGCCAATAATACTGAGAGTTACGCCCTACTAGACTTTGGACATTTGTCTGTTTCCAGAAACCAAATCCATCTCTAACTATTGAATATCTTCAAAGGAATGAAACATAGGCTCTGACGGTGATTGAAAAGTGAGTCCTAGAAATGTTTTTGGCAAAAGCATTATATCATTGGGATAAGTGAATACTCTTCTAATGTGGTTCATTTGAAAGTTTGCATGTGCTTAGTAGAAAAGAAAGCTTATTATCTTAAAATCACATCTGGTGGACTCATTGGTGAGATGACTTAAAAGACCTATTTTTACAAAAATTTATGGTAAGTAAAACCAAAGTACTTGCTCTTGACACACACACACACACACACACACACACACACACACACACAACAAAACAGCTATGCTAATGAGATCTGAGCTTGACTGTAGAGCCCAGTGAGTTTATAACTGAATCACTCAGATTACCATATGTTGATCTCACTGATTACAAAACAAATATGGGTAATTATTTTTTAGCCACTTGGTCACTGAAGACAAGTCAAGATAAGAGAACGTATATAGTTCTTGAGGGAATAACCCTTTTGAACCCTGTGGAGGCTATCTCAGTTCCAACTTGTGCTACTTTCTACTAACAGATAAAAAATAAAACAGAGAGTTCCTGAGAAAATTAAACAGTATCATTCTGCCTGCAACTGGGTAACTACAAATGTTAATAATTGAAATAAATCAATATAAACAGAAGATATTTTCATATTTTATTAGTTTTATATAGGTGATGGAAACAACAAAAATCAAAACAATGGTACAGCAAATTATTCAAAAGGTATATTCATCAAACAATTATTCAAAAGATATATTCATCAAGCAACATTACTGAAACAAAGTGAACGTGATTTAATTTTTTCAAATTAATTTCAGTATCTGAAACATGGAACTATTAGCAGAAGAACTTTTGTTCCAGGATTTCATCTCCTGTATGGTTCATATTTCCCCTAAATTTGGCAATAAGAACTTATACACTGTGGACTCTTAGTGAAAACTGATGAATAAGAGGTTATGGTTTAAGCTCTTAGGCTAAAGTGAAATACTTTTCCAGAAAAATATTCCAGGAGGGAAGACATTTGTATCTAAGGTCATCTAATTATCTATTGATAATGTGAAGCCTCAAAATTAACAGTCCTTTTAATTTCAATTCTAGCAAGTATCTAATTGAACCTTAGCAAGCTCACTGATTTTATAACTTTCATTGGCAGCAAACTCCACATATTAACTAGACTCATAAACACACATACATTTCTTTTTTCTCTTTAAAAATCATCTACCTATTAACTTTATCAAATTCTCTAAACTTTTATTATTTGGGTAAGTAATCAATATTACTTGGGGAAATAACCTCTCCACGAGATTTATTTGGTGGTTCTTTCTTAGTGCCCTGTTTCGGAGAGCTAAGAAGCAGTGGACTGCAGTTTTCATTAAATCTCTCAAAGAATTGGTTCAAGTGCCTAGCTCTGGTTCATCATCTGTGGACCATATGATGGGGGGGGGGGGACCCTTTGAAGAAAGTGCATTTGGATAGTTTGATAAAATGTAACAAAAAATGTAGATTCTTTTTCTCTTCCTTCATGTCAATGGATATTATTTAGTTCTTCCTATCTATCTATCTACCTACCTACCTAGCTCCTCATAGCGTTTTCTGTACATGGGCATAGTCGAGTGGCCACCTTAGAGGTGTACAAAGAACATTTGTGTGGGATACAGGTGATTCAGTCTCAATTTTTGGTCAACTACCAAATTGCTATAGTTCACAAAATAATTCATTTCATTTCTTTGAGTGTTAGTTTCTTTACTGGTTAAATTTGTTTTAACTGCTCTATGGATTATTTGTTATCAAAAGTCCTATAAGGGATATAAGCATAGCTCGATTATTATTACTGCTTCTGTGTTTAAGATCCCTTGAATAAAAAATTCAGATCATAAATTCTCATTAAGATAACTGAGTAAAATATTTTCAAAATATAGGTTATAGGTCCTGTATAGGTCTAAGTACAATGACTGTAGTTAGAATTGTATTATAAGCACTTTTCCCTGGCACTTCATTCATATAACTAAAAGAAAACATTAGACATTTTCAATAAACAAAAATAGGAATATAAATTTTATCATTGTTATGATTCTTTAAAATAGGTTTAAAAATTTGATGCACTTGAATCTGAAAGGCTCTTGTTGAACTAATCAAACAACCTTCTAAGAAAGGATTTCTTGGTAGGAGTAATAATTTTCCCAGAACCCTTTTTGTGGAGGGATTTCAGTGGAGGCTTTTTTAAGGGTAGAACTCTTTTGGGGGTTTGCAGTGCTCTTGCTATCTGCACATGCTCATTGCAATAATATTTGTTGCTTCCTTCTGACAGATGGATGAGTGTGCTTTCTGCCAGATCCATACACTGGGCATGGACCCAATGCCCATCTCCATGAGAGCAGTAAATCATGGCAGGTTTGTTGAGCTCAGTTGAATAAAATGGTACCCAAGTGTTGATATCCACATCACAAGTAGGGCAGCATGTAATCCAATAGCCCGTTTCAGACTCATCTTCCTCATCATCTTCATTATAGGTGTCAAATTCATCATCACCATCAAAACTATTTGCTTCTGCACTGAAACAAAATTCTTCTGAGTCTTCAAAGGGAGTGGAGTCCCCTGGGTCTTCTGTTGATGTCTGACTATTTGTGAATGTTTTCTGATCTTCATTCACATTGTCTTCAGCATATTTCAACATATAGAAATAGAATGCTTCTGAAACAACCTGTTTATTGTCTCCTGGTATGCCGAGGAAAATAGTTCCATTTCCCATGTTGCTTCCAAACCATGTCTTGCTGTGCTTAATATCTGGGGTCCAATCTGGGGTTTCCATCTCACGAATTTCCATCTTGTTGTCCTCAAAAGAGATGATGTTGCAGACCATTCTTTTTTGATTTTCAAGCTGATAGCCACCAATGATAACAAATTCATCATTGCTTATTTGAGTCAGGATTGCACTGGAGACAGAGATTCCTCCTGGCATGACTGTGCAATTCACAGCTGGGCTACCCAGAGGGAGATCAACCCTTATTCTGTATAGGTTGGCAGGGCGGATGTTATTGGCAAGTGAATGGCCTCCTAAAATATAAATGGTATCATTTCTGGCAATGGAGACGTGAAAAGATAGCCCATCCTGAAGTTCTGGAAGAATGTATGACGTAGAGCACCCAAATTCAAAATCCACCAAGAAAACATGGGGCAGGCAGTCAGCTACACTGTTCCATTTTTCTGTGGTTCTTTGGGCGGAAGGTATGTATGACCGTCCTCCAAAGAGAACACCCACACTTTTTCCGCGACTATACACCACATCAATGGAATGACCATACCTGCCTTCAGGAACATCTCCTACCAAGTCTTTCTCTGTGCAGCGAAAAGTAACTTTTTTGTTGTTCTTGCAAACAACAGATATGATATAAATCTTATCTGAAAGCTCATTGTTTGGTGTTTTCCCTCCATGGATGATGTACTGATGCTTTTCAGACTCTAAGTTGCCTTTGAATGTGCAAGTGGCTGGGTAACGAAGAGGAGGAAGGTAACAGGAATCCTTAGAGAAAACTGCAGGCTTCAGTTTGAGATGGTTATGCTTTATATCAAAATGGAAAACTCCAGTGGGGCAGGACCTTTTGGGCCAGCCTTTTTGGCCAAAGAAGAAAACTTGCCCATCAAAATTCATTAATGAGAAGCCTGGTTGAATTAAGGCTATGTTATTACCGACTGTTACCATTTGTAGTGACATATTTTCTGATCGTGGATAGATCTTTTACCTGAAAGAATTACAAAAATTTTTTTTTGCCTTACTACATCCCTTCATATAAAATCACTGTGTTTAGATCCCCTCACACGTAAGAAGCATTTTAAGAAAAGAGCTGTCCCATAAGCTCGTAGTGGCCTGAATTCGCAAAATAGCAAAAATTCAAGCAGCTAGGTAAGCAAAGAGAAACAGAACCTTCCAGCTTAATACCATTCAAGAAGCTGGGACCTGTTTTAGACATGGACTAGCGTCCCTTAGACTTCTGGGAATTGTAGTCCTTTTCCCTTAAAGATTCACCGCTTGTCAGCAGAAAGAACTACATTTCCCAGGAATCCGTCCTCTATGGGATGCGTGGCTACGATAGTTTGTCTCTGTGGCTCCGCGAGAGGAGGCTGTGTGAATAAAGACGCTAAAAATGCGAAGTGACTAGATGGGAGCCAAGACGTAAAACTAGGGAAGGAGAGGTGAGAATGGCTGACGCAACATCCGGGTTACGGGAAAGCTGCGGCACCGGGAGTGGCGTCAGGCTACCCCCGCCCGGGTGTTGTTGGAGGCTCTCCTGGGGACTCTTATTAACAGGTGACCCAGTAGGAAGCAGGGCTGCTTGTGGCTAGAGCGGGGTTTCCTGGAAACCGCAGCCCGAAGAGACTCCCGGCCCAGGTGTCCTCACGGACTGCTTTGGAGCTTTGGAGCTCGACTCAAAATTGCACCCCCGAGCCTCCTTAGGTTAATGGGGCGGGGTGTGACGGGGGCACAGAGAATAAAAAGCTATGACTATTTTGCGGAACCTAAAGATTAGTCTCTGAATACCTGGAGTGCAGGGGAGAATTTACCTGATAATGTTTTTTTACCACTCCTATATTTAGTCATGGAAATACAGTAATGAGACTTTAGCGGGTACCACGCCAAAGGCCATTTGTTTTCTCAGCTGCTCTTGCTCCGGTTTTTAGAGTTCTTTTAGGGATGCAGAGAAGTTTCCTAAACACCTCTCCTCCCTTCCTCCCCCCGCCCCCACCCCTCCCTCTTTTTGGATGAGAAAATAGAGTTAGTGGCTGTTATTTCAGTCAGATCTCTCTTTCCAGCCCCAGAACCTTGGAAGTAATTAGTAATTCTGTTGTAAGCAGGCATTAAGCAAAGAGGTGCCAGAATTATTCAGAATGTAATATTTGTATGATTTTTCAAAACAGGTATTTACTAGATGGAGTAAGCTTGATAAATTTTAATTTTATTTATTTATTTGCGGTACGCGGGCCTCCCACTGCTGTGGCTTCTCCCGCTGCGGAGCACAGGCTCCGGACGCACAGGCTCCGGACACACAGGCTCAGCGGCCCTGGCTCACGGGCCCAGCCGCTCCGCGGCATGTGGGATCTTCCCGGACCGGGGCACGAACCCGCGTCCCCTGCATTGGCAGGCGGACTCTCAACCACTGCGCCACCAGGGAAGCCCGATAAATTTTAATTTTTAGAAAAATTATTACTTACGTTGGAGAGATGTCAGGAGCCTTAGTGGGAAATGCACGCCCTGTTTGCAGAGTGAGGTCCTAGGCACTAAAGATGAAAGGAAACAAAATAGCACAGATTCCTTGACTTTTAAGAGTAAATTGTTAATATGCTTCAAAAACAGTATCAAACAGTGTCTAAGAGTATGGACTCTGAAGGCTGACTGGCTGGATTCAAATCCTGGCTCTGTCACTTACTGTGTGACCTTGGGCAAGTAAGTTAATCTCTTTGTGTCTCAATTTCCTCATCTGTAAAATGAAATAATAATTTTACCTACCTTACAGGTTGATGTAAGTTGTGATTAGTAAGTTAATACATGCAAAGCACTTAGGACAGGGCTTTATACACTGTAGGTCAATAGCTGTGATGATTACGCTTGAACTTATAAAAAGTAAGGTTGTTAATGCACAGTTACCTGCCAATCATGGCAGATGATGTTTATAATGTTGGAGATGATTAGAAGGGCTTGAGGACCTGGGAATCTGGTTAGTGGGTGTAGACTGATAATTTTTTAGACTAGTGAGAATTGGATAAACATATACAACAGAGGAGTTGGTGGTAGGTTCAGTTTAAATAACAGGAAATATTTCATTCTTGTTACCCTTTCTCTAACCCCCTCATTAAATATGCAGACTCTGAAGTTGGAATGTCTGAGTCCAAATTTGGGCTCTAAAAGTTATTTGCTGTGTAACTCTTTGGGGCAAGTTTTTTGTCTCTTTTTTTATCTGCAAAATGGGGATAATATTAGTACCTATTCATTGAGTTATTTTTGAGAATAAATGGGGTGACACATGTAAATCACATAGCACGTATGTGATCATATATGCTGGCACATAATAAGTATGGAACAAATGTTCATTGATGCTGTAATTTATTTTTATTCCCCTTGCAAAGGTTCTTTGGACCGTGTGGAGTTTATGGTCAGTCTAATGAGATCTTGGTAGGGCTTTTTGCCTTGAAGATCAGGTGTAATTAATTGCTAATTATTCTCTTCTACTTATATTTAGCTTACTTGGGAGACTCCTCAAGGTGTGATATTTTAATAATCATCTGTGGGTTATTAAACCAAGTGAGGAACTGGTGAATGAGAAGGATTATTACTAAGGTTATGAAAGCAAGCCTTTTTCTTCCTCAGACCATGGTGGTTTGTAGGTTCAGCAACTTGCCTTGCTTATGAAATAACCTGGGCAAGTGTTTTATTTACTCATGGCCTATCCAGGTATACATGAGAGAAGGCATCTGTGCAACTAAGAAAATGCTCTCCATAGGAACTGAAAGGAAGTATTCTTGGCGCTCAGTTTGGTAAAGGAGAACCATACGTGATTACACTCAGCATGATGTGTGATGATTTTTAGAGAGTTGCTCACGTTTGGGCTGAGGGAGCACCAAAGCCTGCTTGTTGTAAACACCTGTGAAGACCGTTATTGGGCTAGAAAGCAAGCTCTACAGAGGTAATGGGTCCCAGATCCCAAGGGGTGACCATACAACAAGAACACTTGCTTTTAAATGGAAAATTAAAAATAAAATGTTTTCATTGTAGCCCATTGGCTTCATTTTAAAGTTCATAGGGATTTTGGCTTCTCATAAGTGAAAACACTGTTATTGTAGATTAAACAGAAATATTTTCCTGGGCAAGACATAAGGAATACTACCCCTTTTTGTAGCTTATTTTGGGTCCCCAAAGATTTCTGACCTGTTCTCCCTTTGGTGCCCTGCTATTTGGCTCACCTCATAATTTCAGGGCCCTAAAAATAGTGGTAAAGTTGATTACTGTTAAGATGAATTACCTCTTCTTGTGACACAGTTCAAGAATCTGTGTATTTAATTTTTAGATTATTCATTTTAAACTATGGCCAGATGACTTATGTATTTAAAGAATGAACAAGAACATTGAAAGTGTTTTCACATTATTTTGCCATACTTGTTTATTTTGCAGTTTTGCTTTACTAACTTAAATATGTCTTCACAGGAATAGACTATAGTATATTTTCCACGGTTTTACTATGACTCTATTCATCACATCTTGGTTTTTAAATGAGTTTTTAAAAGGTGACACTGGAACTAAAATAATCTACCGAAGTGGTTTTCTTTAAATAGGCCAGATAAACACAGGCAGATTTTGAAAAAAAAGACACTGTTCTTTGACTGAAAGAAGTTTCAAAGTCAACACATTAAAGATTCTTTTTAAAGGTCAGAAATATAGGACCAATAAATTTATACAAGTCTCCCAACCCCATGCTAACATTCCTCAGCAGGGAGATTTTCATTTATTCACTGTGAAGCGAGGGCATAGTTGAGAATCAAAAAAGGGCTAATGATGTAAGGTCTGGGTTTGTAGTTTCCTGTGTCTGAACTGACACTCTTTTCCTTCCAAAGGAAGCTACTGTACTCGGAAGCATTAAATCTTGCTGATCAGTTTTGCTCGTTTTCCTGATTGCTCCAAAATAGCAGGTAACCTCGTGTAACTGCAGTCTTTTAGTGTACGAATTAACACTATCTTGCACAGTTAATCAGGTTTGAGGCATACAGTGTTTGATTTTTTTGCTGGCAGTAAAACCAGGATTAGGTCTTCCTTCTGACACTTATGCCAGAGAAGCATTTATGCACTAAGATTAAAATTTCAACACTGATGCCACAGGAATAAAATCCTTGCAGCAGCCTGAGACCAGAAAGCCCCTCTGTTTCCAAATTCTACATCATCCCTTCCCCATCTGGACACCCAGTCCACCTGGAACTAACATACTGCTGAAGGGGGGCACCTTTCCCTTAAAGTTGACAAACGTAGGCTCCCATATTTTAGCTCTGGTAGAAATGAAGTTATTGGACCTACCTGAAGGCCAGGGGCGCAGCTCACCCCTCTCTGAATCTTTGCCGCTAAACCAGGTATTAAATGTCAGCGCTTGGGGAAGATTCACTGACTGTTCACTCTGACCATGGCCTGCAGAAGGATGACAGTAAAGAGAGTATGTATGTGTGCCTACAGATGTTCCAGTGAACACTGATCTAACCGGAGTAACTGACTGTGACCTTTTTTTTTTTCTTTAGATGGTTAAGGGAGATATCCAACCAGGGTGTACCCTCAAGATTTAACTGTTTCCTTACTGGTGAACAATGGAAACATAATCTGTTATCTGTAAAGATCAAAAAGAACACAAAAAACTGGTAAAATCCTGATTTATTAAAAACATTTTAGAATGTTTAATATGTTTATTAAATGTTTATTATTTAAACATTTAATAAACAATATAATAATGTTTATATAATTAATTAATGTTTATATAATTAATTAATGTTTATATAATTAAACATTAATATTTAATGTTTAAATAATTAACATGATTTAAAAAATACTGTATGATTCGAATGGGAAATTATTTTTACTAAAGCAGAGACTACTAATACGAATGTCAGTTATTTTGACCATGAATTGCTCCTCAGTGGTCTCATTTTCTTTAATGCAAGGCTCAGAAGGAGTTCTGATTATGGGAGGCCTACCACCAACTTTGTGTCGGGGAACTGCAGTGTAATATTGTATAGTGGAATGATTAAGAAAATAGGCTTTAGAGTCAAGCTGACCTGGTTTTCTCTGCCAGCTTTGCCATTTTCCAGGTGGAGTCATCTTAATCCTTAAGCCTCTTTTTCCCCACCTCTGAAATGGGGATAGAAATATTTACATCAAAAGATTGTTGCAAAAAGACTAAATGAGATAAAGTCTTTGAAGTGCTCAGCCAAGGAAAATATTCCACAGTGGTCTTAAAAACTATGATAGTAGCCTCCCCATTCCCACTCCAAAATTTCATAATCAAAGGAAGAATAAACCAAAAGGTTGAGAACAGATGAAAAAGCTGACTTAATATTTTTAATGGACCTAAGTTTTTAGAGCAGTTTTAGGTTCGCAGTAAAATTGTGTGGAAGGTACAGAGAGTTCCCACATACCTCGTGCCCCCCACTCACTCATAGCCTCC